TAGTTTGTCTCAACTAAATGTTATGAAACTTATACACAATGCTTATTACCACTAAATACAGATCATTTTCGAATTTTGGTGGCGTCACTTCTACCGTTCTAGAGTTATGCCCCTTTACAAATGGAAAAAATGCTAAATTTTCCGTTCTCTAACTTAAATTTGCCTCAACCAAATGCTATGAAACTTATACACAATGCTTATTACCACAATATACAGATCAAGTTTGAATTTTGGTGCGGTCACTTTTACTGTTCTAGAGTTATGCCCTTTACAAATGGAAAAATTGCTAAATTTTTCATTTTTTTTCTAAAAATATTAATCAAGATATTTTTATACAACCTGGTCGTATATTGGTATCACGTTGCTGTCGTTGTCAGCGTTGTCCGAAGACAGATGGTTTCTGGATAATAACTTTAGTATAAGTAAATTGAAATCAATAAACACAAGGTTTATAACCACTAAAGGAAGGTTGGGATTGATTTTGGGGGTTATGGTCCCAACTGTTTAGGAATTAGGGGCCAAAAAAGGGGCCCAAATAAGCATTTTTGTAGTTTCCAGACAATAACTTGTGTTAAAGTGTATGAAATCTCTCTGAAATTATACCACAACTTTCCATACTACAAAGGGATGGTTAGGATTGACTTTGGGGGGTTGCTCAAACCATTAAGGAATTAGGGGCAAAAAATGGGGGAAAACAAGGGTTTTTCTGGTTAAAGGACAATTGAGACAATTTAAAAGCAGTGTAAGGGAGGTAATCCAAATCCAAATCCAAATCAATTTAAATAACAATGTTTGATTACCTCCCTTACACTGCTTGTAAATTTTGTATTAAGAAATGATGATTGTCTGAGATACTGACCATAACTTGAGGGGAAGAATTATTTTTTGGAATAAGGGAAAGGGGGAGGTGAAAAAAATTGGAGGGGGTGTGTCAATTTGCATAGTGTATTGCACAAAAGCAAAAAATTGAATATAAATTCAAATCATATAACCAATTTGAAGTTCTTTGACTACTGTTATTCTGTGTCAGAAACCTATTATGTGTCAAAAATTTAATTACAATCCAGACCTGTATCAAGCATGAATATTGTGTCCATTTTGGCCCCAACTTTTCAGGGTTGGACATCTGTGGTCGTATCCAGCTGCGCTCGGCGAAGCAATTTATTAAAATTGGAGTTATCTTCCTTTGTCCATGATTATAGTTGAATCAACTACAATCAATTCGTCATACAATGCAATGTTTAATTTTGCCTGCCACTGATAAATTAAAGCAATTCTTACCCTTCCTTCATTTATAAAGATATTTTAAAGTCTGCTTTGAAAATTGGAGTTATCTTTCTTTGTCCAGAATGGTAGTTGAATCAATTACAACCAATGCTTTATACAATGCAATATTCAATTTTACTTCCTACTGATAAATTAAAGCAATCTTTACCATTCAATGCTTACAAGCACTTTGATTACCGTTCTAGGGTTATGCCCCTTAACAAATGAAAATCCATTCTCTAACTTGAGTTTGTCTCAAATAAATGTAATGAAATGTATATATATAATGCTTTTTACCACAAAACTCAGTTTAAGTTCAATTTATGGAAGCGTCACTTTAACAGTTCTTGAGTTATGTACCTTTATAGCGTTATATATGCTAGCGGGGGCATCATCTGTGTCCCTATGGACACATTCCCCATTTATTTTTTCATAATTTTTTTTCCTAAATATTTTCCATTTTTACATTGATTATTTCTGATTTATATATAAAAGCAACAAATACAGTATTGGGCAATAGCACAGTATTGCGCAATAGCAAGAAATCTTTAATTGCACAGTATTGCCCAATAGCAAGAAATCTTCAATTGCACAGTATTGCACAATAGCATTGTATTGCGCAACAGCAAGAAATCTTTAATTGAAAATAAATACAAATCTTTTCATTTCAACTAACATTAAATTTTGGGTGTTTTTTTATATGCTGAATCTAACCATGTTGTTAGATTTTGGATATCAGAGCATACTAGGTAAATTAAATGTCCCATTTCAAATTTTAAAGATCCTTGACCACATTTATTTTGTGTCAGAAACCTATATTATGTCAAAAATTTGATCAAAATCCAAATTCAGACAGTATCAAGCTTGAATATTGTTTTCAAACTTGCCACAACTGTTCAGGGTTCGACCTCTGCGGTTGTATCAGGCTGCGCTTGGCGAAGCATTTTATTATAAAAAATATTATTTTCTTTTTCCCTCAGGAAATGATAGAATTTGTCATATGGCGGAGTGAGTATCGTTTTGTGAGCTTTCTTACAGTACCTCTTGTATTTGGTACTATAGGAAACTGGAAATTTTAAAAGCCACATAATGTTTTCGTAAACATTTGTGCATCATCACAGTGGCTTATTAACTGTCTAGCGCTAACATGTAATATGTGAATGTTGTTACGCCACAAATAAGTAATTAAAGTACATGTAAATAAAAAGTCCACTTACCTTTACCTGTATTTATATCTTTTAACTCTTGGTTATACTATCAGCTAATTTTGCCATTATTGGGAAGATCATTAGTATTGATGTCCATTCATATGTTTACAAATCTGATCAAAAACTCGTTCATGAAATTATCAGATATTGGTAAACACTTAGCTATTAAGTTTCATATTCATGTGCTTTATTGCAATTTTTTTTCTATTAAAAATCAATAATTTCTGAAAGAAATTGCTTTGATAAAGCTGAAATATTTGTTTTGTATATAAAGAATATTTAGAACTGAGATCTAACTATTAGTCATTATTTATGGAAATACTTTGGTCTACTTTACATTGAGGCTGAAGATTGTCAAGTCTACTTATGGCAATTCTTTGGTCTTCTCTACATTGAGGATAAGGATTGACAAAGTCTGATTATGGCAATTTTTTATTCTTCTTTACATTGAGACTAAGGGTTGACAAAGTCTACTTATGGCAATTCTTTGGTGTTCTTTACATTGAAGCTAATGATTGTCAAAGTCTACTTATGACAATTCGTTGGTCTTCTTTACATTGAGGCTAAGGATTGACAAAGTCTACTTATGGCAATTCTTTGGTCTTCTTTACATTGAGGCTAAGGATTGACAAAGTCTACTTATGACAATTCGTTGGTCTTCTTTACATTGAGGCTAAGGATTGACAAATTCTACTAAATATGGCAATTCTTTGGTCTTCTTTACATTGAGGCTAAGGATTGACAAAGTCTACTTATGACAATCCGTTAGTCTTCTTTACATTGAGGCTAAGGATTGACAAAGTCTACTTATGGCAATTCTTTGGTCTTCTTTACATTGAGGCTAAAGATTGACAAAGTCTACTTATGACAATTCGTTGGTCTTCTTTACATTGAGGCTAAGGATTGACAAAGACTACTTATGGCAATTCTTTGGTCTTCTTTACATTGAGGCTAAGGATTGACAAAGTCTACTTATGGCAATTCGTTGGTCTTCTTTACATTGAGGCTAAGGATTGTCAAACAGTAGTAGTTTAACTAACATCTGGTATGAATGCTGTTTGGTGACACTTGAATGTCAAAGCTAAAAGATTGTGGTATCTGGCTTTAGGACAGACCAATATTTGCAAAGATGTACAGGTGATCATGGGATAAAACCCTGTTTGTTACAAGAAAAATGAATTATCTTTAGAAGGAACCACTATGGATCTTCGCATATTGTTTTTTTGTGATTAAAACTTGTAATTGTCCTGTATATTTCATGAAAAGAGTCCATTGTTTGGATAAAGAATTCATGTGGACTAATTTGTTGAAAGATCATAAAATATAGATTAATTATAATACCTAGTGTAAGGCATGCTAACAGACAGAAGGTTGTCAAAGAAATTAATGATCTTAATTAAATTAACAGCCAATTAGTTTGAGAACTCTCATTTCTGTTGTAAGTTCAAAGACAGGAACAATTTACGTGATAGGCCATACAGTGACCTAATTATTAGTTGTTAACTTCTATGTCATTTATTCACTGGTGGAGAGTTGTCTCATTGGCAATCATACCACCTCTTATTTTTGTATTAGTTGTGTTATTGTCTTTTGAAATGCAATGTCCACAGAGATTGTATTAAAGAAAGAAAAAATCAATGCAAAGAAATATGACATTAAGGGGTGGGTAAAACCAAGTCACCCCTTGTAAATGGAGAGGTAATTAGACAAGTTACTGTACTGGTAATAAGACAATTAAATGTACTGGCAATTTAACAAGTAAATGTACATGTAATTAAACCAGTAAATATACTGACAATAAGACAAGTAAATGTACTGGTAATAAGACAAGTAAATGTACTGGTAATGGGACAAATAAAAGCACTGTTTATAAACAAGTAAATGTACTGATAATTAAACAAGTAAATGTACTGGTAATAAAACAGTAAATTTACTGGTAATAAAACAAGTAAATGTACTCCAAATGATACAAGAAAATGAACTGGTAATTAAAGGTAATGTACTAATGTACTGGCCGGCATGGTAATAAGATAAGTAAATGTACTTAGGTAACAATATAAGTAAATATACTAGTGGTGAAGCAAGAAAATATACTGGTAATCAGACAAGTAAATGTTCTGGTAATTTGACAAACAAAAGTTCTGGTAATAAATTAAGTAAATGTAATGGTAATCAGACAAGTAAATGTAGTTAATGTACTGTAAATTAGAAAATTAAATTGTTATTGCTTGATTATTAGCAGAATTGCTGTGGTTTATTTTTGAAGTTCAGATATCATCACTGAGCAAAGTATGAAATTTGCCTTGAGAAAATCCTCATTGGAAAGAGTTAAGTAGAATTTTATGAAATAGTATGTTAAAAATAATTGATTATTTTTTATTATTGTGATGTTTATCCTGTCGCATTCTTTGCCTCAATAAAAACTTTGCCATTTTCAACAATATCCTGAAATACCTATGTACAAAGTTAAACATTAGTTGTATTAAAACAATTATGGTATTTATAATGTGTCTGTATATTTTTCAGGCTGAAAATGGGATCAGCTCAAAGACAAAACCTACACAAGTGCAGGTTGATCTACTTATTTGTGAAGAAATCCGCCAGGCTAGACTTGAAAGCCAGTCTGCCATAGCAACAGTCGTGGAACAGTATAAAGTAAGAAGAAAAAAAACATGTTTAGAAAGATATAGCTAAATAATCTGTCAGTTCTAAGGAAATGTAATGGTTTCACAACTGTGAGCTTATTATTATGTGTATGCAATTGCTAGGTTCATTGTGGAGGTAGATTCACCTTCTTGTCTGTTTGACTGTTGCCTGTGGCATCCTATTTTGTGTTAATTGGAAAATACTACTTTCAGAATTTTTAAATGATGTTTAGACTCAGATTTCATGTAAAATGTAGTGATTTACTTTTAGAAAGTAAATACCAGAAAAAGGTTACAAGTGCTTGATAAATATTATTGACTGGAAAAAATTGCACATTGATAAAAGATATTACAAGTTGATTTCATCAATGCCATCAATGAAAATGTGAGCAGCTGTACAAAAAAATAAAGCTTAAGGACATTCCATGTAAGGAAAATAAGGATTTACTTTTGATATGTGTTCTTTAAAAATGTAATATAGTTGCAATGAAATATTGATAAGTTGATTCCAAATCAATATCACAACCTTCAGAAGTTTATTGTAGATTAAATATAATTGGGGTTCAGCTATGTTTACTATTTGAGCCACACTCAATTCTAGTGAAATTGTTAATTTAGGTTGTTACACTTGCAAACAAATGTGGCAGAAGGCAAGGCATGTGCCTGAAAATCCAGCATGGCAATGATGCTATTTGTTTATATGAGCTAAATGTTTCAGAATATATAAGAGCCAGACAATTATTTTGATAGGTTTATATGAAGTGCAAATCCTGCTTATAACATGGTAAATGTTAAGCAAGGAGGAAAAGAGGGTGTCTATTTCACGTAATTAATTTCCTCAAAATTTCAAACTTTAAATACTGTTTGTGTATACATTGAAAATGTACACCTCACGTTGTGAACATCTTTTTATAATGTATACAGATTTTCCAGATAGTGAAACTTAGCCAATGTTCAGCAGTACTCGGCTAGGAGGTTCCCTTTTTTATGATTTTTCAATTCTTAGCTTACTTTCTTTGGAGACTGTATCTTTCTTAGTTTTTCTAATTTATAGTTACTAGTTATATTTATTTTTTTATTTAATCAATGTGTGGTTTGTTTGATCTCAGTTCTTCATTGGTCAAAATTCAACTATGATGTCAAATTTTCTTCCTTTCCTATGAATTTCTTATTGTGATGTCATGAAAAAAGGTGACCATTTCTGATGACATCACATAGAAAGAACACATTTTTTGGGAAAAGAAGGATTAACTTTGTTTGCATATCATCGAAAAATTATTGGAGAAACAGATTCCACCACCAAATTTCGTGCAATACGACATTTCTCCACTCTCGACAGTTAAATTTTAAATGTTTAAAATTTAGCTGAAAGGAGAAATATCATATTAAACTCTGTGCAGTGGTAGAATCTATATATATATGAGATATATTTGACATATTTTTATATAACTTGCCAGAAGTAGAAGAGAATTTCCTTTTTCCTTATGGTTTTTGTCAAGCCTGCGACTTTTGTCGCAGAAAGCTCGACATAGGGACAGTGATCCGGCGGCGGTGGCGGCGGTGTTAGCTAACTTCTTAAAAACTTTATATTTTAGAAGGTGCAAGACCTGGATGCTTCATACTTTGTATATAGATGCCTTATGTTATGAAGTTTCCGTCTGTCACATGTCCATTGACCTTGACCTCATTTTCATGGTTCAGTGACTACTTGAAAAAAAAGAATAAAGATTTTTTGTAATGTTAATTTCTCTCTTATTATGAGTAATAGGAAAACTAGATTTGGTATGTGCTTACCTTGCAAGGTCCTCATGCCCGTCAGACAGTTTTCACTTGACCTCGACCTCATTTCATGGTTCAGTGAACAAGGTTAAGTTTTGGTGGTCAAGTCCATATCTCAGATACTATAAGCAATAGGTGTACTATATTTGGTGTATGGAAGGATTTTAAGGTGTACATATCCAACTGGCAGGTGTCATCTGACTTTGACCTCATTTTCATGGTTCAGTGGTTATAGTTAAGTTTTTGTGTTTTGGTCTGTTTTTCTTATACTGTATGCAATAGGTCCATATATTTGGTGTATGGAAATATTTGTTGATGTACATGTCAGTCTCACAGGTTTTATTTGACCTTGACCTCATTTTCACGGTTCATTGCTCAGTATTAAGATTTTTGTGTTTTGGTCTGTTTTTCTTAAACTATAAGCAATAGGTCAACTATATTTGTTGTATGGAAGGATTGTAAGGTGTATATGTTTGTCTGGCAGGTATCATCTGACCTTGACCTTATTTTCATGGTTCATTGGTCAATGTTAAGTTTTCATGGTTAAGTTTGTTTTTTAGATACTATAAGCAATAGGTCAACTATATTTAATGCATAGATTAATAGTAAGGTGTACATGTCTGGCTGGCAGGTATCATCTGACCTTGACCTCATTTTCATGGTTCATTGGTCAACGTTAAGTTTTCATGGTTAAGTTTGTTTCTTAGATACTGTAAGCAATAGGTCATCTATATTTAATGTATAGATCGATAGTAAGGTGTACATGTCTGTCTGGCATGGTTCATCTGACCTTAACCTCATTTTCATGGTTCATTGGTCAATGTTAAGTTTTCTTGGTTAAGTCTGTTTCTTTGAAACTATAAGCAATAGGTCAACTATATTTGGTGTATTGAATGATTGTAAGGTGTACATCTTTTTCTCATTTGGTTTATCTGACCTTGACCTCATTTTCTTGGATCATGTTCAGTTTATGTGATACTTGTAGTAAAACTTTATATTTAGGACTATCAACATAAAATCAATGGTTAGTAAAGAAGGCGAGACATTTCAGCGTGTGCACTCTTGTTTAAAATTATAGAAAAAGAATTGGAAATTTGTATTATCATTAAAAGTAAAACCAAATTATTTGAAAATTTTACAGGAACTGTCAAAGCAATGTATTTCACAACAAGAGGATGTGCTGAGAGAATGTAAACAAATACTTCAGCAGGAGCAGGAAGTTCAAACACAGGGTTTACGACAGCAACAGGTAGGTGAACATGTGTATGAATGATGAAACTGGCCCAAATTGTTCAGACAAATGCATATGGCAGCAACTGATTGTTGAAAATCGGAGAGATCAAACAGGTTGTGTGATTAAAAAGCTAGATTGACTTTACCACAATTTTATGCTCCCCTGAAAAAATTTCTAAATAATAACAATTCCAAAACTTTGTTATTGTAGAGTGTACATATCGATATTTATAAAAATTGCCTTATACTATCATAGTGAAAAGGAAGCATTAAAGGGAGGATAGGAGTTTACCTCAGCTTATCTCTTAGAGTTATAGCTAATAGTTACAGGAAGACATTTTATGGTCAGCCAAAGACTAGAAAGATAATTATAGAATCTTAGTGTTGACATGTATTTAATTTGTAATAAATATGCAAAACTTGCTCTTTGATGTTATCATTATGTTATTTTAAAACAATGAAAATCACACAAGGAAATGTTCCCACTGTTGGAAAATAAACAGTCCTTGTTTGTCATATATGCACTGCACTGGTAATGTCAACAAGATATGTATTTAATTTCCTTTACATCCTAGAAAATCTGATCTGATTTCATTAGATTAACTTTTAATAGATATTGATATAGTTGATTAATATTTTTAAAACTAATTGATTTTGTCATTTAATTGTCTTGTTACTGTATTTAATGAAGTTCTCTGAGAAAAAAATTCGGGCAGTCATGATTTTATTTTATTTTTTGAAACATGATTCAGTTTAATGTTAAAGTCAATATTTAGATTTAATTGTAAATTGAAATATTTTTAGTAGAATACACAGAGTTGATTTTATGTCATAGAAATATATTCTTCATTGCTGTACATGGTAGTTCCTGGTTGAGTGTGAATAAATAGAGATACAATACAAAAATCATTGAGACATCAATATTGAAATACATCTTTAATTAAGGATGTTAGCTATTCTGATTCAAAATAACAAGATTTTTCAAAAACTGTTATAAATTGATAATATATATTAATGGAACTAAAAAAGCAAAAAAATATAAAAAAAAATACAAGGTTGTGTCCTTTTGATACGCCCGTTTACGGGACGTATTATGGTATACTGTTGTCCGTCCGTCTGTCTGTCTGTCCATCCGTCGTCAACATGTCGGACATTAACTCAAAAACGCTTTCACTAATTTGCATAAAACTTTGGTGAATTGTTTATGTCTATTGACGTGAGCTCCCTTTCGTTTTTTATAAATTTCAGATTTTTCGTATCCGAGTTATGGGGTTTTATTCATTAAAAAAAGGGGGATTTTCCAGTTTTTGGACAATTACTCAAGAATGCTTTCACCAACTTGCAAGAAATTGTGGTGAATTGTTTATATCTATTGACATGAGCTCCCTTTTGATTTTTATAAATTTTAGGTTTTACGTTTCCGAGTTACAGGGTTTTATTCATAAAAAAAAGGGGGATTTTCAGCAATTCTCATGAAACTTTGGCGAATTGTTTATATCTATTGATGTAAGCTTCCTTTTGATTTTCATAAATTTCTAATTTGACATTGAGAATAAATTGAACTTTATTTGTTTATAGTCTGACAACAGATTTACTAAGTATTGCGCAACAGCACAGTGTATTGCACAACAGCAAGAAATCTTTAATAAATTCAATTCATATAACCAATTTCAAGTTCTTTGACTACATTTATTCAGAAACCTATAATATGTCAAATATTTAATTACAATCCAAATTCAGACCTGTATCAAGCGCCAATATTGTGTCCATTTTTGCCCCAACTGTTCAGGGTTGGACCTCTGCGGGCGTATCCAGCTGCGCTCAGCGAAGCAGTTTATTAAATTATATGTAATAAAGTTATGAAAAGAAAAGTAGACAGGAAAACATATTTTAATGGCACTATCTGACAGAAATTCAAAAATAAGATAAGCGAACATCCTTAAGTCATATTTCCAGTGTAAGATGATACTGTGAATATTTTTACATTTTATACTTTTTAGACAGAATATTTTGTGATATGTATACATAAATATAGGAACTTAGTGTCTGAATTAAAGGTTATCACATCTTATCGTATCTTATGCTTTAAGTAATAAGCTGATACTGATATCAGACATTATTTGAAAATTTTCTGAGCCATTTATATATGTCGCATGAGTGCTAATAAGAAGAAAAGTAATGAAAATATAAATTGTCACGAATATATCCGACTGTGATGATCTTTTGTATGAACACATCCACCAAATTAGAAAATCATGAAATGAATTGCCATGAAATTTGCTAGAAAGGACAAAAAAGAAAAATGATCTAAAATAATTTTGTATTCAGTGGATCTAAGGTGATTTGACTTCTAACAGTATGATCATTTTACAGACAAAAGTAAGATGAAATATTGTCAACAACTGGCGAAACATGACACTAATTAAAATAAGAAAATAAAAATAAATCCCTGTTTCAAAGGCAGGTAGTAAGTACTTTTACGTTTGATAATTTCAGAAAGAAGAATTTTCAAAAGCCGTGGAAGAAGAGAAATTAAGATTAAGGAAGGAGTCATCTGAAATGATGCAAGAACTAGTGGCTGAACAAAAGGTTTGGCTTTTAACAAATCTGTATGACATCTTGTTTTTATACAACCCGTATATTGGTATCACGTCGTCGTCAGCGTTGTCCGAAGACATTTGGTTTCCGGACAATAACTTAAGTAAATGTAAATAGAAATCTTTGAAATTTAAACACAAGGTTTATAACCACAAACAGAAGGCTGGGATTGATTTTGGGGGTTATAGTCCAAACAGTTTAGGAGTTAGGGGCCAAAAAGGGGTCCAAATAAGCATTTTTCTAGTTTCCAGACAATAACTTGTGGAACGGTATATGGATCTCTCTGAAATTATACCACAAGTTTCCATACCACAAATGGAGGGTTAGGATTGGGGGGTTATGACTAAAACCGTTTAGGAATTAGGGGCAAAAAAAGGGGGAAAACAAGGGTTTCCTGGTTAATGGACAATAAAAAAAAGTACAATGTTATGTTTGGATTACCTCCTTTACACTGCTTTTAAATTATGTATAAAGAAATGTTGTATTGTCTTGAGGTGATAAGCTGTCAATTTATTTTTAGAAGTTACTATTTAAAAATGCTGATTTAAGAATACAGTTATAGGACAAACGCCAAATTTCATCCTAAAATTTAGGAGATATCAAATTGCACAATTTATTGATGTTAATTAATCCATTCAACATATTACAACCTCTTATCAGACTCCCTGCTGGTACAGATTAGAAAGTCAGATGAATGGGTATGAAACTTTTATCTGTGACCATGGTAATCAGGCCACTGACCATAGAGACAATTCATTAGTGTATATTTCAGAATTTGTAGAAGAACACTATTTTATAGGACCTTATAGAGTGAAATCTGTTCCAGGAATACAACATATGTGTATATAATATATATATTTTTAAAAGAATTTTTTGTATATATATTTGAAATAATTAGTTAGAGAAATGAATTACTAAATTAATAGTGACAAAAGCATATCAGTTGCGATTCAAGGATTTTGAAAAGGGGAGGCACCAAGGCATCGTTAGGAGTATCTACATCTTAATGTGAACCTGTTTAAGTCTTGAATTAAAATTATTGGAAAACATTTTTTATTAATATCGTTATTTAAAAAAATTCTAAATTATCAAAAAAGCTCAGGGTTCAATCTCTTGATTATGTAGAAGCTTCGATCAAAGTTTTGTAAAATTCCATGAACGTTTGGCAAAGTTATTAACTATCTTTAACAACAGACTATACCTAAAAGTTGACTGCCAAAAAACAATTTATTTGTTAATTACGAGAATGGGTGGAAAATTCAAAATTTTACTCAACATGTCAGGTATTTATTGAGTATGAAGAATCTGCTTTAAAACTTTCCTGAAAATGAAGGTTTGAGAAAGGTTATTGATATTTGTTAACTTTAACCCTGGCTGTATCTAAATATTTATTAAACAAAAATAGTTCTAATCATCAGCAAAATACAGAAAGAAAAGATAAAATAAAAACTAGAAAAAGTGATGCCCACTCCACTCTGAAGTAACTATTTTATAACAAAGTCAATGTATGACTTCTTAAGAGATATTACTGTGTCTGGGAGACACAAATGATGCCCCCGCAGATGCAAAGTGTTATTTTAAAATACACAAAGTTGAGCATGGGAGCACATAGGTCTATGGTTCACTGTAGGAGGAGTTATCCAGAAACGTTGTGCACCTCTGATGCAAGTATATACTCCAAAAATGACAAAGTTCCAACTATCTCCCAAAAGAGCAAATTTTGATAAAAATCAAAACCCTGACCACGTGCACACCTTCAATATATGTACAAACAGCCAGCAAAGTGAAAACTCCCTAGCATTCAAACTGTAGGAGGAGTTGTCCGGAAACGCTATTCACCTCTTATGCAAGTAAATTCTAAAAAAAATGACAAAGTTCAACTATCTCCCAAAAGAGCAAATTTTGATAAAAATCAAAACCCTGACCACTTGCACACCTTCAATATGTACAAACAGCCAGCAAAGTGAAATATCCTAGCATTCAAACTGCTGGAGAATTATCTGGAATAGCTATATACCAATAATGGGACGGACGGACGGAAAGACGGAAGGACAGGACATATGGACAGACAGGGATAAAACCATATCCCCTCCCCCAACTTTCAGTTGCGGGAGCATAAAAACAAATACTTTTTTCTTAAGTTGCCATTTTTTGGTCATGATGAAAATTCTGTCCCTGTTCATAAAATTCCATAAAGTTATTGATATTTAGAAACTTTAACCCAAGACTAAATCTAAATAATAACTTTAAAAAAGCCTTTTATCAGTAAAGTAAGGAAAATTGATACAAATGTTTTAAATTTTACTCATGTTCTTGAAAAACCTAATTCATAATATCATTCAATGATGCTTCAACAAAGTTATAGATGTCTAAGAAAAACTAAAACCTCAGAAAGTATTAATAAACTCATCATAGATACCAGGCATCAAATTTTGAACATTTGACGCACGTTTAGTCTACAAACGACTCATCTGTGACGCTCGAATAAAAAAAGTTGTAAGGCCAAAATAAAGTATGAAGTTGAAGAGTATTTGGGACCCAAAATTCCGAAAGGTTTTGCATAATACAGTTAAGGTAATCTATTCATGAAATTAAAAATCCATAGTATTTAGAAAATTCAAAGTTTTGTAAACTGTTAATTTATAATAACATTAGTGCAAAAAAAAAAAATTCTCTGGATGCTGTCATTGTATAGAAGATGTGTCTGTCAGTTAAATAAATTCTATGAAGATTTATCAAAATATTGACGTTAAATGTTGATGTCACGACTAGAGACGGATTAGTTTAGTTTCAAAACAATATTTTATTTTTAAAAGTGCACAAATTACAATAGAAATACAGGGATTTGGAAACAAGAAGAACTTATATAAATCCGTTCCTCATAGAAGGATTGTTATGTCTAGATTAATTTTGGCGACTTTATTTGCAGGCTAGACAAATAGCAAATTGTAAAACTGGAAATATTAAAAATGTCAAGATTTTTTTGGTGAAATGAATTTTGAACTACTTTATAAATTTTTTAAACTTGTGTCGGATTTTTTACACCATTATTTCGAGAAAACATTTTCAAGGTATGCCTGTGGTATGTCAGAACATTAAATTCGAAAACTTCTCAAGTTTCATTCCAGTATACAAAAAATATTTTACAAAATCTGTCTTTTCTTATTCATATTTATATTGTAGATTTAGTTATACGCTTAAATATAAAAATAAAATACTAAACACAAATACTCTGTATCCAAATGTTTGCATTGCCACAACTTTAAAAAAAAAAAGGGGGGGGGGGGTCTTGTGTATATAAAATTCAAAAGTCAGAAGATTTTGCCACTAGCTGATTCTGATAACAATCTATTTTATGTGGAACAGTACTTTTACAATACATAGAACACATGTGGTCATTTCTGGTCAGTCATCTAAAATATTGTGGTAATCAGAAGATTTCCTGCTGTGAAGACAAATAAACAAGTGTTTGAATAAATGATTTATCAATAAGCTGTTAATTGGTTAATGTTCTGGCTATTTTGCTGAAGAAACTCAAAATCTGGCGTTTGTCCTATAACTGAATATTAATTTTAGCCATGATTATGTATGTCATTTTCTATTTTAAGACTTTTATGATGTATTTTAATGGGTAATTAGTCCCCTACCGACGAAGTCGAGGCACTCCGTCTGTCTGTCCGTCTGTCCGTCTGTCCATCCGTCAGTCCGGCAAATCAGCTTTCCACACTTTTTTTCTTCGTTCTTGAAGATATTGATTTGATATTTGGTATATAGTTTCATCATGACAAATTAAAGATCAAGTTCGAATTTTGTTCCGGTCTGATGATTTAGTTCAGAGTTATGGACCATAACTCTGGACCATATCTAATGTAAGAGTACTATGTTAAACCATATGTCTGTACAAAGGGAGATAACTCATTTTTTAAAAGACATTCTTTGTTAAATTATTTGAAGATTTTTTTGTCAGGTTTGTTTGTTATTTAGTATAAACTAATTTTCTGAATGCTATATATAAAAAAAAAAATTATGAAGAGAAATCCTTTAACTAGATAATAATCTATTTTTATTAATGTATATATTTCAATACATTACATTGTGTAGATAAAAGTTGTTGACATTTTATAGATAAGTTACAAATCTATATTAGTTTGTGACAAACAAAAGAAAAAATATTTGGAACTATTAATTATATTTGATTATAATTTGAAAATAGATATACACTGTATTACATCATATCTTATTTTAGAGAACTATTAATCATATCTAATGTTTTTTTCACTCATATAATCAGTTTCCACACTGTTTTAGTCATGCTTGAAGATATTGACATGATATTTACTTTTTGTTTACACCATGAAAAGTTATAGAACAAGTTAACATTTTGTTCCAGTAAATGAATTTTTACCCAGTAGGGGACTATGTATTGCCATGCAATACTCTCAGAATGCTTGTTATGGTTGCAAACTCCATTGGAATTTTGAATTGAGATTATGACCATATCTTGAGGGAAAGAATTTTTTTTTGGGAAAAAGGGGGAGGGGGGTCAATTTGCAACAGCATTGTGTATTGCACAAAAGCAAAAAATTGAATATAAATTCAAATCATATAACCTATTCTAAGTTCTTTGACTACAGTTATTCTGTGTCAGAAACCTATTATGTGTCAAATATTTAATTACAATCCAAATTCAGACTGTATCAAGCGCCAATATTGTGTCCATTTTTGCCCCAACTGTTCAGGGTTGGACCTCTGCGGTCGTATCCAGCTGCGCTCTGTGAAGCAATTTATTGTATATTATGTACTTGAGGTAAAATTGGTTTCCGTTCTCTAACTTTAGTTTGCCTCAACCAAATGTTATGAAACTTATACACAATGCTTATTACCACAAAACACAGATCAAATTTGAATTTTGGTGGTGTCCCTTTTACTGTTCTAGAGTTATGCCCCTTTACAAATGGAAAAATTACTGAATTTTTCGTTTTCGTTTTCTAACTTAAGTTTGCCTCAACCAAATGTTATAAAACTTTTACACAATGCTTATTACCACAAAACTCAAATCAAGTACAAATTTAGGTAGCGTCACTTTTACAGTTCTTGAGTTATGTCCCTTTATAATGTTATATGCAAGCGGGGCGTCATCTGTGTCCCATGGACACATTCCCCATTTATTTTTAAAAGTTCCAGATTGAGTACTGCCTGTTGAGGAAAAACAGTTAGTTGATACAAGAACTGTTTATTTCTCATTCATCTCTGTCTGGTTTTATTTTATCAGAAAAGAAATGGAATTTAGAGCATAAAGAAAAATGAAATATTAAAAATATTGAGTAGCCTTCTGCATACCAATCTTACAATTTATGAAAAATGTGATTCACTTGAAAAAAATGCTGCATATTATTGATTCTCATTTCTTACCAAGTGTCAGACATTATGAGATAATTTTTACCAAATAGCCTGATCATTACAGATAATCAAATCAATATATACATTAGAATGTAGACCAGATAATGGAGTTATTTCCCTGTTCAGAATTTTCTTAGTGCATTTCATGAATTTTATATCAGATCAAATTATCAAAAATAAAGATATGTATGCTTTCCACCTATAAATCACATTTAAAGTGTGATAATACTTTAATAATAAAACATTAATTGTTCCATAAATTCATTTGGAAGTTTTATAGAAAAGGTTTATCTATCAAAATATGTAAAATGAGATTTTTTTTATACATTTCAGAAAGAATTTGATTTTCAAATGGAAAAGGAAAAAGAAAATTATGAGAAGAGATTACAAGAATCTTTAGAGGTATAAACCATTGTATTCCAGTCAACATATCTACAAATCAGGTTCTCAGTGGACGCAGTACTGTAAATTCAAAAATTATTGCAAGGTTTTTATTAATGCAAATAATGCGATTGGGTGAGTATCGCAATAATAAGAACTCGCATTCTGATATATGATACATATATCTGAATGAACATTTCCCTGAAATCGCAATAATTAATCTCACATTTTTGTTCATTCTTTAAAAATCGCAATAATTTCTGAATTTATAGTAGTTGATCAACAGTGATCCCTAGCCTCTCAACACTCAGGTTAAGAGTTGGCAAGGTGTGTTAAACAACTCTGATCTTAATTGACTAGGATTGCCTGTTTTCTTGCCACAGATTGATGGTTCTCTCTGGTCACTCCTTTAAAGCTGTCCGCCATTATATAGCTATGTGTGCTAAATAGGGTGATAAACATCAACAACCAATCAATCAATTTCTACAAATCAAGGCTTAATGCAAGCCTGAATTTCTGCTTCTAACTATCATACTGGGTTAAAATTTTAATTTTTTTCCTGTCATGTCAGATATTTCAAATCAAACTTGCAAAAACTTCAAGGTTAATTTTATACCTTGTCTCAACGAAGTTGCAGAGGAGGGACATAGGCATGCTTTTTCCAGTGTTTGTGGGGTCAAGAAAAGGTAAAAAGGTTATTAAAAAAGCATATTTTTAGTCAATGATATTTGTATAGCAGTTGGCACATCTCATTTCCAGGAAGATTAATTGGCTCTGCCTCCTCAGTCATGGTTTGCATAGTTTACATGGTAAAGTGTTGCTATTTAAATTTTTAAAAGAACATTTGCATTGTATTATCAAAATTACATACATGCAATCTTTTTTTTTTAACAGTTTATTGCAGAAGTTTGAACATGACAAACAGTGTCCTTGCATTAACTCTTGAACCATTCAACATAAGCTTTTCAAATTTTAATATGTTGTTACTGATGACAAAACGGAGGTCAAGTTAGATATTGACGATTTTCACTTCCACCGTTCAGGAGTTATGGTTCTTGAAAGATTGAAAAATGGTGTTTCCAATAGTGTTATGAACCTTTCAACCAAAGCTTTTAAAAGTTTGATATGTTGTTACTGATGACAAAATGGAGGTCAAGTTTGATATTGCTGATTTTCACTTTCACCGTTCAGGTGCTGTGGTTCTTGAAAGATTGAAAAATGGTGTTTCCAGTCGTGTTCGTGCTTTAACTCATGGAGTGTTCAACCAAAGCTTTTCAAATTTTAATATGTTGTTACTGATGAATGACAAAATGGAGGTCAATTTCAATATTGATGATTGTCACTTTTACCATTCAGAAGTTATGGTCCTTGTGATATTGAAAAATGCCAGGACACAAATAAATGTTAAAAAATCTGGTTTGCTGTCACTCTGACAGCCTCTTGTTATAAGTTGCAATATATTACAGGAAGAAAAAGAAAGATGTAGGAAAGAACTAGAGGAAGCACTAAAAAATGAGAAAACTCAAATGAACATGACACTGGAAGAAGAAAAGGTAACTGTTTAACTACAAAATTGAAATTAGGAGAAAGATGAGCTTCACAGAATTTTTATCATGATGTGAAGAAGGAAACTTTACCTTTCAATTAGTAAAAAATTATATAAATGTTGATATTGGAAGTTTATGTTCAGCTCTTTTGTACATTGGAAGACTCATAAGATTCAATTTTAAAAAGAATTCTGAGGCTAACTGTTTCTATGCAAGTAAAATGATATTGAAACACTGTTAAATGTCAGGTTTATTTTTTGTTGATTTATTATGAATCTATGATACATTCTCTTATATCTTTCTCCCAACACACTCATCTACAAGTCAAACCACTTATAAATTACTTTTTATACCTCCACTTCAAAAAAGTGGGGGTATACTGTTTTACCTCTGTCTGTCCGTCCATCCATCCATCCGTCAGTCTGTCAGTCCGTCAGTCCGTCAGTCCGTCAGTCCGTCCATCTGTCCCATGAAAATTTTTTGTCACATTTTTCTCAGGAACTACAATACAAGGATTTCTGAAATTTGGATTCAGGGTTTATATAAGTCTGCTATACCGTTTGATGCTTTTTCAGATTCATCACTCAACAACTTCCTGCTAACCGAAATATTTGGGCGGGGGTATCATCAGTGAGCAGTAGCTCGCAGTTTCACTTGTTATAACAAAACATGCAGTAAAAAATATCAAGTATGCTAAATTAAATAATAGAATTTTATCCACTTTTATGTCTGTTGTGTTTCATTGTTTTTCATTGTGCTCTTTTTTCTTTGTTTTACAGGAGAAATTAAAAGAGGAGTTGCAGGAGGAAAGGCAGAAATACTTGCTTGAAATGAAAACGGCCTTATTGGACGAAAAAGAAAAAAATAAGGTATGATAATATGTGTGTTAAGACAAAACCTGAAAGGAGAACCTTCATTGTAAGATTTCATGTCTGTGACTTAAGTTTGTAGATTTCAGAGGTGATGGAAGTCCTAGCTGGGGTGGGGTGGGGTATCTGAGAAGTTTGTGCCTTTCACCTTCTATGTTATTTTCTCGCCTTACATTGATCTTTTCAAAATACATGTGATTTCAAACTACCACTATTTGTTTACATGGCAGTTACTTCTCTTTACACAAGGAATGTTTTTCTGATACAATTAAAATGATTTTTAACACATTTTATGTCTTTGATTTATTTTAGATGAGAAATACAATATTCTTCATTATAAAGAATAAATTGAAAAAATTGATTAATAGAAAATTAATTTCTTTTAACAATGCACAATTTTTGGCAGCTTTTCTCATACTAGTATCCGACAGAAAAATCATTGGGAAATAATAACTATATTTTTTAAATATTATTCTACTGATTTCTTGTTTGAAATAACCATTCTCTTACTGGTATCTTTTACAAAAATGTTTTCACTTGAAAAATATTGAATAACCAGAATGGTCAATACTCTCATTTAAATCCCTCTATTATATTAAAAACTACAAATGGTGTGTGGAATACTGCAATCACTTTGTTAGTCCATCCCTCATTTGTCTATCCATCTTGTCCTTTCATCTGTCCATCCATAACTTTCTTGAAATATTATTCATCCTTTGTATTTAGAAATGTTTTGATATTTGGTCTCACCGTCTGGAACTTTGTTATGAGTTGTACTGTGTAATCGTGTTTCAGACTTGCTTAGCAGTCATGTCTTGTTTGACAATACTTTCAATTTATAATGTACCAACAGTGCATGGTAATTTTATGCCCCACTTAGGGGCATAATGTTTTTCGGTCTGTGCGTGGTTTGTCCGTCCCTCCATCCGTCAGTCCGTCTATCCCGCTTCAGGTTAAAGTTTTTGGTCAAGGTAGTTTTTGATAAAGTTGAAGTCCAATCAACTTGATACTTAGTACATATGTTCCCTATGATATGATCTTTCTAATTTTAATGCCAAATTAGAGTTTTGACACCAATTTCACGGTCCACTGAACATAGAAAATGATAGTGCCAGTGGGGCATCCGTGTACTATGGACACGTTCTTGTTTGTTATATATCACTCAGCATCCGTATCAAGGAATGATTTGATATTTGATCAAGAACTTAATTATGATGAGTCAATGTACCAAGTAATAAATTTTCAGATCTCCATGCAGACATTTCTTATATGATGAATCTTTGTTTTTTTTATAATGCTAACTAAGCATGGGATTTTTTCATTGCATATTTCTCAGCTTCTGTATTGAGGAATGATTTGATATTTAATCTTGAACTTTATTATGATAAATTGTACTGTGTAAATGATTTTCAGATTTACTTACCAGTCTTTTTCTACATTTGTTTTTGAAGATTCTTGGAATTTTATATTGTACCGACTGAGCATGGAATTTTTCATCAATGTCTTATAACAAGATGAAGTATACTTTATGGCAAGCCGTTGTGGAATTTATTCCCTATTTATTAATATTAATAAATCATTTATTAATATTAAAAAATGATTTTTTAATATTACAAAATCATTTTTTAATATTAATAAATCGATTTTTTAATATTAAAAAATACTGTCATTTTTTAATATTAATAAATGAATATTTGATATTAAAAAATCAATTATTAATATTAAAAAATCATTTTTTAATATTAAATATTCAGTCTGATATTTTAATATTAATAAATGAATTTTTAATATTAAATAATACGCTGATTTTTTAATATTAAAAAATCAACATCAATGTTACCTTAGCGTTTTATATAAGGCAAACCAATCATTTATCTGTCAAACGCTTTAATGATGATTATTGGACAAGTCGGTCCGGAGAAATATTGGACCGACTATGTAAAGTCAACTCGGACCATCTTATATCGACCCAGACAAGTAATTAAGGAAAGTTCGAAATATTTAATGATTATAAACCATTAAATATTGAATTTTGAATTAAATTTTCTATTAAAATCGTGCATTAAATTTGCCAAAATAATTTCAAATTATAATTTGATCCATGTGAATGGACTCAATCCTACGGAAGCGTATTAGGAACAAAACAAATTAGCATTGACCAATATTTGGCAAACATATAGACTAAGCAACTCTTTCGTATGGCAAGCCGTTGTGGAATTTATTCATTGTACCACTCTGAATGTAAATTTTTTACTCTTCTGGTGATAGCCACGTGGTTAAGTATTCTGCATTGTCCCTATCAGAGCTTTGAAAGATCTATTCATATCAATATTTAAGTTCATGAAAAAATCAAAACATATTGTCACATTCATTTTTACCACTGACTAAATTCTCGATCGATTTATTTACTTGGGCCAACATAAGCGATTTGTAGGTATTATTTTGTTAGTCAAATAGGACACGGAATTTCAACCCTTCCATTTTTTACATTTCAAATATCTGTAATACGATTTCCGTAACCTGGAGTCTGGACTAAGCAAACATACAAACTATTAGTCCCATGCATACAGTTACCTTGTTTCTTCTGTCAAAAATTTGAAACGTGTTTAGGTTAAACTAGTAGTACAGTGACACGATATTTCTTTATAGCAATATAAAGAATAAGGAGGTGTTATGTGGTAATATATGATTGTCAATAAGACAACTATTCCACCAAAGTTCAAATGAATTGGGTGTAAGCAATTATAGACAACTGTTCGTCCATCAACAATAAGAAAAATATAGGGACATAGTAAAAAATAAAATGGGCACATTTGTTTCGAAGTCGAACTTTTGACATGTCAAATCTAAAAATTTCGACTTTAACTCAAATTCTTGACTTTTCAAATCTCGAAATTTTGACTGTAATCTGAAATTTTGACTTTTGAAATCTTGAAATATCGACTTTTTATACGACCGCAAAAATTAAAAATTTTTTGGTCGTATATTGGTATGACGTTGGCGTCGTCGTCGTCGTCGTCGTCGTTGTCGTCGTCGTCGTCGTCGTCGTCGTCCGGCGTCGTCCGGCGTCGTCCGAAGACACATTGGTTTTCGCACTCTAACTTTAGTTTAAGTGAATGGATCTCCATGAAATTTCACCATAAGGTTCAATACCACAAAAGGAAGGTTGGGATTGATTTTGGGGGTTATGGTACCAACAGTTAAGGAATTAGGGGCCAAAAAGGGGCCAAAAATAAGCATTTTTGTAACTTTCAGACAATAACTTGTGTGTAAGTGTATGGATCTCTCTGACATTGTACCACAAGGTTCCATATCACAAAGGGAAGGCTGTAATTGATTTTGGGGGTAATTGCCTCAAAATTTTAGGAATTAGGGGCCAAAAAAGGGGCAAAAAACAAGCATTTTTCTAGTTTCATGACAATAACTTGTGTGTAAGTGTTTGGATATTTCTGAAATTGTACTACAAGGTTCCATATCACAAAGGGAAAGCTGGAATTGAGTTTGGGGGTAATTGCCCGAAACGTTTAGGAATTGGGGGCCAAAAAGGGGCCAAAAATAAGCATTTTTCTAGTTTCCAGACAATAACTTGTGTTCAAGTGTATGGATCTCTCTTAAATTGTACTGCAAGGTACCATACCACAAAGGGAAGGCTGGGATTGAGTTTGGGGGTGATGAATCATAAGGGGGTTCAAAAAATTTGGGGGGGGGGGGGGATTTTTTTTTTTTTTTTTTTTCTTTTTTTCCTTTTTTTTTTCTTTTAAAATTTTCCATTTTAAGTTGGTTATTTCTGATTTATATTTAAAAGCAAATAATAATGATATGGTAGGAGATACACACCAAACAGGATATGTAAATTATTATATAATAAGTATTGTGCAATAGCAAGAAATTTTCAATTGCACAGTATTGCACAATAGCAAGAAATCTTCAATTGCACAGTATTGCGCAATAGCAAGAAATCTTCAATTGCACAGTATTGCGCAATAGCAAGAAATATCCAAAAGCACAATATTGCGCAATAGCAAGAAATTGTCAATTGTACAGTATTGCGCAATAGCAAGAAATATTCAATTGCACAGTATTGTGCAAAAGAAGATACTTCGTATAAATTGCTTATTTCTTGATCAATTTCAATGGGGTTTTATTCTTGAATTCTTGGGGTTCTTTAATATGCTGAATCTAACCGTGTATTAAGTTTTTGGATTTTGGGCCCCGTTTTTAAATTGGTCCACATTGAGGTCCAAAGGGTCCAAAATTAAACTTTGTTTGATTTCATCAAAAATTGAATTATTGGGGTTCTTTGATATGCCGAATCTAACCGTGTATTTAGATTTTTAATTTTGGGTCCCGTTTTTTAAATTGGTCGACATTAAGGTCCAAAGGGTCCAAAATTAAACTTAGTTTGATTTTAACAAAAATTGAATTCTTGGGGTTCTTTGATATGCTGAATCTAAACATGTGTTTAGATTTTTGATTATGGGTCCAGTTTTCAAGTTGGTCCAAGTTGGGTCCAAAATTAAACTTTGTTTGATTTCAACAAAAATTGAATATATGGGGTTCTTTGATATGCTGAATCTAAACATGTATTTAGATTTTAGATTTTTGGCCCAGTTTTCAAGTTGGTCCAAATTGGGGTCCAAAATTAAACTTTGTTTGATTTCAACAAAAATTGAATATATGGGGTTCTTTGATATGCTGAATCTTACCATGTATTTAGATTTTTTATTTGTGGGCCCGCTATCAAATTGGTTCATATTGAGGTCAAAAGGGTCCAAAATTAAACTTTGTTTGATTTCATCAAAAATTGAATTATTGGGGTTCTTTGATATGCCAAATCTAACCGTGTATTTAGATTTTTATACGACCGCAAAAAAATTTTGTGGTCGTATATTGGTATGACGTTGGCGTCGTCGTCGTCGTCGTCGTCGTCGTCGTCGTCGTCCGGCGTCGTCGTCGTCGTCCGGCGTCGTCGTCCGAATACATATTGGTTTTCGCACTCT